TGTGCTCAGACTGTTATGACACATTATTTTGGTCAAAGAATATGAAGAAAACCTGGCCCTACAGATGTGTAAATGGAAAACGTGGTTATTTTTAATGGCCTTTTCAGATAACTGTGCATGTTCTTCTTTGTGCTATACCAGTAGTAGAAGTTTTAAAAACTTTGTTGCAATGTGGAATATGAAACCATAAACCATATCATATTGTATTACATTAAAATCAATTTGTATAACTTTACCTTTGAATGGCTCCTCATCCATGCATGACTATGTAACATTTTGCTGTGTTCTTTTGGAAAATACTGGCTCACAGAGTTCTGCAGATACCCCAACTACTGTCACATTTCATTGTATTACATCAAAAAATCGCATTCATGGGCTGGGGATGTAACTTAATGGTACAGCACTTGCCTAGCATGTATGAGGCTCTGGATTTGATCCTAGGCACAGCAATCAATAAACACATTCATGCATATCACTCCAATCTTACCACAAAAGTCTTTAAATATTCATTTGTATCCAGCTCATGGTAGTGGGTACAAGTTTTCCAAATTTTTATTTTCTGTCACTGGGAACAAATATTTTCAAAGGTGTGTGTGTGTATGTGTGTGTGTGTGTGTCTAGAACTGGGGATTGAATTCAGGGGCACTCTACCAATGATCTATATTACTCGCTCCCTTTTTTTCTTTTTTTTTTTAAACTTTGTGACAGGGTCTCACTAAATTGCTGGGACTAACCTTGCAACTCTCCAGAGTAGCTGAAATCGCATGCATGTGTCACTGTGCCTGGTCTGGTGGGTTGTTTTTTTTTTTTTTTTTTGAAATGACTGGATGACTTTTTTTTAAAGATTTTTTAAAAATTTTATTTTAATTAGATATGTATGACAGCAGAATGCATTTTGATTCATTGTACACAATTGCAGCACAACTTTTTATTTCTCTGGTTGTACACAATGTAATGTTGCACCATATGTGCAGTCCTACATGTACCTAGGGTAATAATGTCCATCTCATTCCACCATCTTTTGTGCCCTCATATCCCCTTGCCTTCTCTCCCTCCCCTTTGCCCAATCAAAGTTCCTCCATTTTTCCTATGCCCCCCTCCCCATTATGAATCAGCATCCACTTATCAGAGAGAACATTTGGCCTTTGGTTTTTTGGGGATTGGCTTGACTTTTTTGAGGAAATACCTCCCAAATGCCCCAAACCAAATAACCATTGTCTTGTCAGTACTCTTTCAAATAAAAATGATGTTCTATAAAGAAAACAATTAGTTTAACTACACAAAACTTTTCCTTGAGACACCATTGTATTAGGAATATACATCAGAAGTGCTTTATATTCTCAAGGAGTATCTCCAGATCAGCAGCATTAGTATCAGCAGGGAACTTGTTAACAAGTTTACAAGGAACTTGTAAACTCTCCTATCCCACTCAGACTCACTGACTCAGAAGCCATGACTCAGGTGAGGGGAGGCAGTATTCTGTGTCTGACCTCTAGATAATTCTTTTAAATCTGAGAACTGCTGTTTCTGAGTTAAAGCAGTGATTCTCGGTCTTGGTTACAGAATCACCTGAGAAATTAAACTCCCCAATACTTAATTACTCTTCATCAATTAAGTCAGAATCTCTGAGTGGGACCCAGGCATCAGTAATTTTTAAAGTTATTCTGATGATTCCAAAGTCATTGCCTTAAGCCATTTTCTTAAACAATTCTCTGCTCTATTCATGTCTGGTACAGGATAGTTGGGTATTGAAAATGGGGCTATCTGACAAATTCCTGCAGTGCTAATAACCACTGCTTTGAGGTGGATAAAAATCAATTGTGTTTTCAGAACCATTTTTCCATACTGAGTAGTCAGGAAATTCTAAGTGGTAAACTAGGAGAACACCAAATACTTCTGATTAGTCATGCCCGCTCCCCCATCCCCAGTTTTTTAGCAAAATGATATTGACAGGTCCAGTAAGGTCCCTGCTTTGATTATCAGTGAAGCTTCCTCTTCAGCCACCAGAGCTTGCTGTTCTCCATGGCCTTCATTTTTTTCACAGACTGTCTCCAGTTAGCAGTTTTCACCCTTCACATTTTATAATAATTTCTTATTACCCTATTACTACCCTCAAATGCAATACATATATAATGCAACCTATTCACATACATCAATTTAAAAATCAATGTAGCTAGCATGCCTGTAATCTCAGCTACTCAGGAGACTGAAGCAGAAGGATTGCAAGTTCCAGGCCAGCCTCAGCAACTTAGTGAGACCCCATCTCAAAATAAAAAGGACTGAGGATGTCTCAGTGGTAAAACACACTGGATGCAACCCCCAATACCAAATTTAAAAAATCAATGTAGTCCTCTTCCTATTATAAAGAATAGAAGAATGAGATAATAATAATATATATAGCAAAATGTAGATGCTTGAGAACACCAGACATAATGAAGTTGTTAGAGGTTAGCATATGAATTTTATTAAAAATTTATTATGTAAAATTCAAACATATACTAGAGATAATAACAAAATGGACTACATGGTTTCCTCAGTGCCCAGGTTCAATAATTATCAATTATTAATACCAGTCTTTTTCACTCGTACCAATACTTCTTAAAAGGTGGCATCAGTGTCACCTTGGAAGATTATTAGAAATATAATCTGTTAGCTGTATCCCAGACATGGGATCAGAATCTCTAAGTTAGAACCCAAGTATACCTGTTTTTGTTTTTTCTCTTTATAATGCTAAGGATTAAACCCAGGGTGCTCTGCCACTAAACTACATCACCAGTTCTTTTAAATTTTTATTTTGACAGGGTATGTTAATCAGTTTTGCATCTCCATGATCAAAATATCTGACCAGACCAACTTAGAAGAAAAAGTTTATTTGAGTCTCATGGGTTCAGAGGACACAATTCTTAGATGACGGACTCCATTGCTCTGTGCCAAAGATGAGGCAGAACATCATAGTGAAAGGGCCCAGAGAGAAAAGCTGCTCAACTAATGGTGGGATCAGGAATAAGAGGGAGAGGGATGGAGGAGCCATGTCCCTAGTGACCCACCTCCTCCAGCCCCCTGCCTATAGTAATTACTTAGTCAGGCCATTCAGACAAGGGTGGATTGATTAGGTTACAGCTCTTGCAATCTCTGAAATATTCCTGCATTAACACAGGAGTTAGGGGGACATCTCATATTCCAAACCATAACACAGGATCTCCCTAAATTACTCAGGCTGGCCTTGAATTTGCAATCATTCTGCCTCAGCTTCCTGAGTCTCTGAGATTATAGGTAAGTGCCACCATACCCAGCTAGGAATCTATTTTAATAATCTCTCCAGCTGATTTGCTGAAGTCTAAGAGCCACTATGTATGTACATGTGTATATTTACACACACATACATTTAACATCTCTACCTTTTCAGATTTTTTTAAAGCTAGTCCCAGACAGCACCCATATAATTTTTAAAATTATCACATATTATGTCACCTAAGGAAAATTTAATTATATAATTCTTTAATATCATCACATATCCAGAGTTTAAATTGTCTCAAATTTTCATAATTTTTTTTCAGTGCTGATGGTTGAACCCAGGGCCTTGTATATTGCTAGGGGAGTGCTCTACACTGAGCTATATCCCCAGTCCTCTTTTTAAGACAAAGTCTCACTAAATTCCTGAGGTTGGCAATCCTCTAACTTCAGCTTCCCAAGTAGCTGGGTTTATAGGTGTATGTCACCATTTGTTATCATGCATAAATATATATGTATTGATTAACTGAGTTTTTTTTATTAGTTTCACACATTCAGGATTTTGCTAATTGTGCCCCTGTGTGTCATTTTGTCATATTCCTCTTTTCTCTATATTTATTGTAATTTGATTCTTAGTTCTACAGCCTTATCTATCAGGTTTGATTTTGGCAGGGGCAGGAATAGTTCATAGCTAGAACTACTTATTTCCCATTTCATCCCAGTTAGGTGTCTGGCTCTTTTGTTTTCTGCTGTTAAGGTTGATTAATAAGTACAAGTGTTGGTAGCATGATTATCCTGGATTGAAGTTTCCCAGTCACTCTTTTTGCCATGTATACATTGCAATAATCCTAATCATTTCCCAAAGGACATAGGGCACTTACCTAGGCAAGACATTTATTCTGGGGGAAAGGAAATGCCTAGTCACTTCAAGGAGCTTTTAGACTTAGGGTCTGAATCAACTGTGATAACTAGAGAACCCAAACCTCCTCATGGTCTTGCTGTAGAGTTGGGGATTATAGGATCAGGTAACAGGCATAGCAAAAGTCTGTTTTACAGTGAATTCACTGAGTCTGCAGATCCACTTGTTGATCACTTCCCTGGTCCCTGAGTAAATAATTACAGAGACATCCTTGGTAGTTGAAGTACTGTGAAGTACTCAGGCTGTTGGATAAGAGCTATCACAGTAAGAAAGTCTGACTGGAAGCCCTTGAAATTGTCTCCCATCCCAGTAAAGATAGAAAATAAAAAACAATATAGTATTACAAGGGAGATGGTGATAAGTAGTATCACTGTAGGTCCTACAAAGTGAATGCAGGTTGCCACAGCAAGTTTAACCAAGTAGTCCCAATTGAAGCTGTGCTGGACATGCTACCATGCTATGAAAGATTTAAATTTTTTTTAGTTGGTAGATGAACACAATACCTTTATTTACTTATTTTTTTAAAAAAATATTTTTTAAAATATTTTTTGGTTGTTGATGGGCCTTTTACTTATTTTTTAAAAAATATTTTTTAGTTGATGGACCTTTTACTTATTTTTTAAAAAAATATTTTTTAGTTGTTGATGGACCTTTATTTTATTTATTTGTATGTGATGCCAAGAATCGAACCCAGTGCCTCATGCATACTAGGCAAGCACTCTATTATTGAACCACAACCCCAGCCGCACTATTAAAGATTAATCAGTCTTCTGAAACATGTTTTGTTGACACTGATGTGGTAAATACATTCCTTTTTATTTCAATCAGAAATGAGAATAAGAAGATTATATTCATGTGGAAAAGACAATATTTATTTTCAGTTTTGTCCAAGGACTATGTTAACTTCTTCAATCTCTTTGCAATAATGTCTGAGAGACCTGGATTGTCTGGACATCCTACAGAACAGCACTGTGATATATCAGTAATGTGTTGATGGGGCAGAATGAGAAAGGGCAGCTTGTATGGCAGAGGCCTTGGTAAGACACATAGATCCAGAAGGTATAAGGTAAAATCTGGAAAGATCCAAGAATCTGACACTTCTGTAAAGTTTTAGTGGTCTAGTAGTCAGTGGCATGTGAAGACAACCTCTCTTTTGTAAAAGACAAACTTTTGCATATTGCATCTCCTACTATAATGAAGCAAGATATCTAATGGGCCTCTTTGGGCCCTGGAAGCAACAAATTCCACATGTGGGAATACTCCTCTAGCTCATATCCTGGGAGACATGGAGGGATGTATGCTCCAAGTGCAACCAGGAGCAGCAAAGGGCACTGCAACAGTCAGTGTGGAGTTTACAGCAAGTCTCAATGGGAGATCAGAATATAGGACTCTGGAGTCTAGGAGAAAGGCCACGCCATCTGCAGCACAGGATTTTACGCCTTTCAAGAAACAGCTCCTCATACGGTATTAGACCCTCATAGAGACAGAAAGCTTGACTGTGGGTTAAAGGTTATCATGTGTCTAAAAGTGTCCATCATGAGCTCAGTCATAAAGTTAATGGGCCCAGCATAATACAGAAATGATGCATTCAAAATCAAACACCAGGACAAGAGGGTTTGAGTAAGCTGCATGAATTAATTAGTAGCACAGACCCCTCTATATTTCTCACGATGGTGGCATCTGTACCCCTTCCTCAGGCTGCACATGCCATAGGAGGAGAAGAAAAAAGGTCAAACTTGATTGATTAATGGATTGGTTTGGTATATGAGTGGAAAGTATACATTAAGGGATCATCCTGAAAGGTAGCTTAGAGGAAAAATCTTCCTCATAGGCAACTTTATGTGGAAGGAGAAGTGACTTGGTACTGAGAATCTGTACAGATTCCTTGGCAATGTTAGTGGCCTGGCCAGCTAGTCAGGATCCTGAAGGAAAAGATGAAGATTAGAGAAAAAGAGATCTGAATACAGGCATGTGGATGTACATAAGAGAGTGAGCACAAAGGGTGAAGATTTTTGTTATTTCATGTTTATTCTGATCATAAAGCACCATCACTAATGAAAGAGAAACTGAAAAAATCAAATAGATAAAAGAATTCTACCAATTGATGTTAGCCAAGCTTTGTCATGGTCCATTCCAAAATGGCACATAAATGGAATGGCCATGTTTGCAGAGATAGAGGCAACACATGAATAAAACAGCATGAGTTCCCACTGACCAAGGCCAATCTTATAGCTACTTCTGCCTTTCAAAGTCTAACTTGCTAGCAGCAGAGACTGACATTGCATCCCTGATATGGCTTTAATACTTGAGAGATAAATTAGCCACTTGATGTTAACTCAGTAATATGGATTCCCAATTCCCGAAGTGGCTTGTGGTTCAATCTCATAGGGATACTTATTCTGGGTATGACTTTTTGTCTGAAGGGCCTCAGCCCATACCATTATCCAGGGGCTTAAAGAAGGACTCAGACATAGGCATGGGATCCAATTCAACATAGCATCCAAACAGGTGAGCCACTTCATAGTAAAGGTAGTAGTAGTGTGAGCTCATGATCAAGGGATCTACTGAGTGTGCTTTCCAGAGCAGCCAGCCTGATATATCACTGGGAAGCCTACTGAAGGTGCCTCTAAATATTTTGCCAACAGTGAAGTGTCATCCTTTAGGATGCAGCATATACAATAAATCAGAGATCTAGGTATGGTCCCGGACTGGGACCAAAAGCAGGGGAAGCAGAAGTGGTCCCACTTAACATCACTCCTACTGACTCATTAGGGAATGCTGTTTCCTATTCTTACAACTCTGGGCTTTGAAGGTTTAGAAGTCCTAGCTCCCAAAGCGTATGCTTTTTTTTTTTTTTGCTAAGGGTCTCATTGAACTATAAGCTATAGCTATTTGGGCACTTTGGACTTTTCATGTCCAAGTACCAGCAGGCACGAAGAGGAGTTACCATCTTGGCAGGGTAACTGATCAATAAGGAGTAAAAGGACTGCTTTCACACAGTGGGTGAGGAAAAATGTATGTGAACTTGAGAGCCTTTTGATACTTAATTGTAGCTATGGAAGGACATGTACAGCAATCCCAGAGTGAGATGCATGTCATTTCTAATAAATATACTTTCTAATCAGGAAATTAAGGATTTGGGTTAAACCCAGGTAAACTACTAAGACCTGTGGCAAAGATAGCTGAAGGAGAGTAGATTTTGAAGTGGGCAATGGAGGGAGAGGAGGATAAGTAGTAGTTGCAGTCCTGAGACCAACTGAGTGACAAGGGCTATAATTTGTCCCAATAATCACCTTCTTCTAGTTGTTTCTCAAGAAGAGAGATCCAGAGGAATTATAGAGGAGCTGTTCCTATTCAAGAAAGAACCTGCTGCAAAGACCAGAAAAGAAACATAGGATTGAAAAACCATGAAAAAGTATAGATGCAAATATTTTAAGGTAACAGAAATATCAGGAAATGATACTTATGAAGAAGATGAAGCAGATGACGAAGATGAAGGAACTAAAAAGGAATCCTTTGACAAAATGTCTCCAACAGCAATTAAAAATGGCATTGGTTCACATCCAAAAAAATTAAGATGCAAAATAAAAATAATGCTATGAAAATGCCTCCAAAGCTGGCCTATTGAGAAACAGCTATTGGCTAAGTAAATTAATTAGTTAGTGAAGCATTTGTTAATGGTGATGAGAAGATTTTCCAAGAGAAAAGTGTGAAAAACTCTGCCTATAACTCAGGCAAGGGGTTCCAGACCATCTACTAAAAATATGGTTAGCTGTGATGTTAAAACTGTGAACATGAATTAAACTGATAATGAAGTGGGACCTTAAAAATCTGAACAAGACACCAATAGGGGTAGTAAGAGCACTGATACTGTAGGCCAGGTTGAGACACTTCTGTACATTCTAATGTTCTCCTTCCTGACAACCATAAGCAAAGTTTACCCAAAGTTTACAAAAGCTGTTGAAGTCAAAAGAAAAAAAACTATTTCAACTCAATAAAAAATGTGAATACTCCTGCAGCCTGGGAACTGCAGCTCATCTTGTTTTCCATGCTGGATTTCAACTCCCAGCTTCATCTCCCAAAATTTATTTCTGTATCCAACTTTTAACCTGTTAAAAAAAAAAAAAGAAAAAGAAAAAGGAAAAGATAAAAAGGGAAAAAATCAAAATAGCCACCTTGTCAAATCTCAGATGTTCTTGTTTATATTATCTTGTTCTCCTGCTTTACAAGCAAAGGTTTCTCTGAATACAGTGTCATTTTTTTGTTTTGTTTACTTATTTTATGTGATGCTGAGGATCGAACCCAGGGTCTCACATGTGCAAGGCAAGCGCTCTACCACTGAGCCACACCCCAGCCCTATAATGTCATTTTTGAGAGAGATATGAACGAAGGGAGAGCAGAGTGTGTGGGGAGACTGAGAATGGAAGAGACCACCCCAACTGCTGTGACCACAGTTAGCTGACAGTCTTTCAGTGCCATGCTTGGTGGGATTCACCATAGCATTTACCCTACAGCTGTACCCTCCCGGAACCACTCTCCACCAATGGCTAAACACAGCAGTAGTTACTGGAGCAGACAGACTATGTCTGTCTAAATTGGGACCCTCTCAAATGGTCAGTCTTTTTTCTGAGACTCTTTATCAGTTTGGCCAAGACTTACTCAAAGCTGTACTATAGCCTAAGACTCTTCCAATTTAATTTCCTTCCTCTTCTCATGACGTGGGTGTCTACATCATAGTCTAAAGACTATCCCTACCTACTGATTCTTCTCCCCTTTAAAAAAATTGTCCCCCCAGTCAATATTTTGCATACATAATTCTGCCTTTGCATACATTGTCTGTTTCTTTCAGTACCAGGATCTGACTAAAGTCCTGTGTATTGCAGGATGTCTGCCATTCCTGGAATCTTCCATAAATATTGGTACTATTTGTCCCCAACCTTGAGGCAAATAATGACATCTCCAAAGATTTCTAAAATGCTTCTATTAAAAATCATTCACTTGGGGCTGGGGCTCATCAGTAGAGCGCTCGCCTAGCACGTGCAAGGTGCTGAGTTCAATCCTCAGCACCACATAAAAATAAATAAAAATAAAGATTAAAAAAAAGAAAAGAATCATTCACTTAAAGCATAATTATCAAGATCACAAAATTTAGAGTTGGGAGAGATCGTACAGATCAAAAAATGTTCAGAAAAAGTTTGATGACTTCCTTCATTTCTCTCTTCTCTTTCTTCCAGTCCTTCACTTTCTACTCATCCTCTAATCTTTGCTGGGTATGGTGGAACATGCTTATGATCCCAGCTACTTAGAAGGATGAGGCAAGAGGATCACAAGTTTGAGGTCAGTCCGGGCCTCTTAGCATGACCCTGTCTCAAAATTTAAAAAGGTCTGGGAATGTAGCTCAGTGGCAGAGCACCCCTGAATTCATTACCTGGTATCAAACATAAAACAAACAAAAAGTAAAAAAACCAACAAAAGTATAATTCTTGCACCTCAACTGAAATTAATACAGTTTGAACAGGTTATGAACATCAAAGAGTGTACAGCCTCAGGATTTGGAGAAAAATTTAGGATCACCTTCTAAAAGTGAAACTAGAAAAAAAATCAGCCTAAAGTAGATAAAATTAGCCCCCTGCATAAACAACCTACCCTTTTAATTGGCTCTGAACATAGTTTTTCGATTAGTTTGCTTTCCAAATTTTCCATCATGTCATGAAGATACATTCTCAGGAAGACCCTTCTTTGAAAGTGGAGGTCCTGTAGACTAAGCAGTAGTAAGTAACATCTAAGAAAGAACGAAAAATTTTAGTTGTTAGTGTAGCAGTGATAATTTTCACTTTTAATTAAATAAATATTCATTTACTACATGTGTTGTCTGCCTACTATGTGCCAAGCATTTTAAGCAGCAGCACAGGGCAAACCATGTTAAGTGGGACATGATCTTTTCTAAGAACTTATTGTCTGGAGCATGCAGTTTAAGGGAGAGATATTATCCCAAAAGGGATAAAAACTGGCTTTGGTGGTGGTAGGGGAACCCCTTAGATATTTCAATGGCTAGTGGCCCTCCAAAGAGCCACAGAGGAACAGATATACAGTCTATCTGTAGTTTAAGGTTTCATGGGCATGTGACAGGGGATATGATTAGGAAAAATCTCTAAAATGGCTCCTGAGGGGGTCAATTATGAAAATTGTCAAGTTGAGAAATTTGGTCTAGAGGAGAAAACAATGAAAGAGGATGAAAGAGAACAGGAGGGAAATGTGGAATGATGAAAGAAAAATGGGAAAAAGGAGTGACAGATAAGAAGGTATGTTAAATTTCAAGACAAAAATTTTAGTTTTGTCTCCCACTGAGCCATATCCATATGACATATAAATTCTTTTCCTTGACATTCTGAAATACAAGTTTATTCCTCTTATATTATTTCTAGCTATGATAACAAAGTATTAAATCTAAAAAGCAATACTGGATTGCCTGCTCTTTATTAAAATAATTCTTATATCCTAGCCAGGCACAGTGGCTCATGACTGTAATCCTAGTCGCTCCTGAAGCTGAGGTGGGATGATGGCAAGTTCAAGGCCAGCCTGGGCACCTTAGCAAAATCCCTATATTAAAATAAAAAATAAAAAGGGCTGAGGCTGTAGAGTGCCACTAGGTCAATCTTCAGTACTAAATAACCAACCAACCAATCTATATCCTAGAACAAAAACATTGTTTCTTGCTCAAATACACTAAATGTCCTCACTTTTTGTTATATATAAAATTTTAACTTTAAAAAATATTTTTAGTTGTAGATGGGCACAATACCACTATTTTATTTATTTATTTTTATGTGGTTCTGAGGATTGAACCCAGTGAGGCAAGTGCTCTACCACTGAGCCACAACCCCAGCCCCCAAATTTAAACTTTTATAGCAATGTCCTTATTGGATTTCTCAATACCTCATTTTTCCACTCACCTGCAATGTGAATTTTGTTAGACTGACAATATGGAATACTTAACTTTTGGGTTTTTAAAAATATTTATTTTTATGTTTTAGGTGGACACAATATCTTTATTTTACATTTATGTGGTGCTGAGGATTGAACCCAGTGTCTCATACATGCTAGGCGATCACTCTACCACTGAGCCACAACCCTAGCCCCTTGGGTTTTTTTTTTTTTTTGGGGGGGTACCAGGGATTGAACTCAGGGGCACTTGACCACTGAGCCACATCCCCAACCCTATTTTGTATTTTATTTAGAGCAGAGTCTCACTGAGTTGCTTAGCATCTTGCTTTTGCTGAGGCTGGCTTTGAATTTGGGATGCTCATGCCTCAGCCTTCTGAGCCTCCGGGATTATATGCCTGTGCCACGTGCCCAGTGATGTCATAGTAGACCAACTCATTGATTATTGTTTGAGCACTTTTTAAGCTTTTCTGCAGTTCACATTTATTCCTTAGGATCATATAATATTGTTCCTCCGTATCCATAGGACTTCCCTATGGGTACCACAATCTGTGGAGGTTCAAGTCCCTTGTACAAAATGGTGTAGTATGTGCATATGACTTATTCATATCCTCCTATATCCTTTAAAATAATACACATTTTATTACTATAGTTTGGATCTTAAATGCCTACCTCTAAGATCTAGGTGTTAAAGGTTTGCTCCCCAGCATGGTACTTTTGGGAGGTGATGGACACTTTAAGAGGTGAGCCTAGTAGGTCATCTTTAGGTCATTGGGAAGGGGATTCCTTTGAAGGGAATAGTGTAACCTCAGCCCCTTCTTTTTCCCAACTATAAGATGAGCAGTTTTGCTTCACCATGCACTCCCCTCCACAATGTATTGCCTACCACAGGCCCAAAAGCAACAGGGCCAACTGATCCAAAACTGGGAACCAAAATAAACCTTTTCTTTTTATGAGTTAAGACTATCTCAGGTATCTGTTTATGGTGACAGAAAGCTGAGCAAAACATTTATAATAACTAATACAATGTAAATATTGTTATATTATCCTATTTAAGCAATGACAAGAAAAAGATGCTTGTATATGTTTTTACAGACACAATATTTTTCTGAATATCATCCTTTTCCCAGTTGGTTGAATTCATGGATATGAAACCCCAAGAGATAGAAACCATGGATATGGAAGGCAGACTGTACTTCTTTTTGCCGAGTCTATACATACAACTTTCTGATAACTAGTCAGATTTCTTGGTATGTTGATATTAGGAAGGGAGTGACTTTGCTAGCAATCATTAGTATTTCAGTGAATGGAAAGGTATAATTTCTACCAGCACTTTTAAATATATATTTTACTGTGGTATAATTAAATACAGAATGAAATACACATTATCTTAAATGTTCGTTTGATGAGTTTTGACAACTGTATTATACTGTATAACCACCACTTGAAACAATATACAGAACCTTTCCATCATTAAGATCCCTTGGACTTATCTTGCTGTCTCTTGCAATCACTTAAGTTTCTAACACCTTAGTATTGTCTTAGATTTCATATAAATAAAATTGTATAGTATGTACTCTGTTGTGCCCAGCTTCTTGTTTATCAAAATATTTGTGAAATTTATCCATGTTGTCAGGTATATTGGCAGTTTGCTGCTTTTTATTGCTGAGTTGTTTTCCATTGTATGAAATATATAATAAGTTTTACATTTTATCTGTTTCTGTTCATGTGTATTTAGTTATAACATTTTTGGTTATTATGAATAAGGTTGCTCTAAACATTCTGTGTATGAGTTGTGTGCAAGTGTGTACCTATATTTTCACTTCTCTTGGTTAACTGAGATTTAGTGAATCATGAATAGGGAAATGAATGTTCAGCTATAAAAAAATTGCCAAGCAGTTTTATAAAGTATTTTACACTTACATGAGTAACTTACAAGTTTTAGCTGCTTAACATCTTCACTGGTATTTGGATTATAAAACTTTTTGATTTTAGCTCCTTGGAATGTATGGAATGGAATCTATTGTGGCTTGAACTTGCATTCCTTAAATGATTAAAACTATCAAGCAAGCCCCGCTATTGTTTTATTGTATAAAATTATGTGTATACATAATACAAAATTATTATTATGGGGAACCCAGGATGTGCTACCACTCCACTTAAAAAATAAAAAGGGCTGGGGATGTGTTATTTTGAGATAGAGTCTCATTAACTAGCCGAAGCTTGAACTTGTGATCCTCCTCCCTTAGCTTCCTGAGTCTCTGGGATTACAGGCATGTGTCACCAAGGCCCGTAATTTTGTATTATTTATACACATAAAATTTATCTCAACCATTTTTGGGTGTATAGTTCAGGGGTATTAAATACATTCATAATGTTGTGCTGTCATCACCATCATCCATCTCCAGGATTCTTTTCATCCTATAAAGCTTAACTCTGTTAAGGAATAACTTCCCATTTCCCCTTTTCCCCAGTCTCTGGCAACTACCATTCTTCTGTCTCTGTGGTTTTGACTACTCTAGGTAGCTCACATAAGTGGAATCATACAGGATTTGTCATTTTATAACTGGATTTATTTTATGTAAAATAGTGTCCTCAAGTTCCATCTGTGTCAAAATTTCCTTCCTTTGTAAGGCTGAATAGTAACTCTATTGAATGTAGATAGCACATTTTGCTTCTTCATTCATGCAAGGTTAATAGACAATGGACTGCTTCCATGGTTTAGGAATTTTGAATAATGCTGCTATGAATATAGGTGTACAAAAATTTGAGACCATACTTTCAATTATTTGGGGTATATACCAGCAATTGGAATTGGTAGATTATATGGTAATTTTATATTTAATTTTTTGAGAAGCTACCATACTGTTTTCTTTGGTGGTTGTATCATTTTACATTCTCACCAACAATGTACAAGGATTTCAATTTCTCCACATCCTCACCAACATTTGTTATTTTTAATGTCATTCTAATGACTTTGAGGTAGTATCTTACTGTAGTTTTGACTGCATTTCCCTATATTAGTGACACTGAGCATATGTTCAGGTGCTTATTAGCCATTTGTATGTCTTCTTTGGAGAAAAGCCTATTAAACTTTTTTGGTCTTATTATATTGGTTTCTTGTTGTTGAGTTTCAGTTCTCTAATTTTTCAGGATATTAATTCCTTATCAGTTATGTGATCTGCAAATACTTTTTCTAATTCTGTGGGTTATCTTTTTGCTCTATTGATGGCATCTTTTTTAAAAATATTTTTCTCTTGGTTGTTGATAGATCTTTAATTTATTTTTATGTGGTGCTAAGAATCGAACCCAGTGCCTCACACACGCAAGGCAAGTGTGCTATCACTGAGCCACAGTCCCAGCCCAATGATGGCATCTTTTGATGCACAAAATTTATTAATATTTGAGGTACTGGGGAACCAAGGGCTTGTGCTAGCACTCCACTTTAACACATCCCCAACTCTTTTTTATTTCAGATAACTAGCTGAAGCTTGAATTGTGATCTTCCTGCTTCAGCTTCCTGAGTCTCTGGGATTACAGGCATGTACCACCATGCCCAACTGATGCACACAATTTGCTGGGTACAGAGCTACATACCTGCAATCTGATTAACTTGGGAGGTTGAGGCAGAAAGATCGAAATTTGGAGGCCCATCTGGGTGAGTCAGCAAGATCCTGGCTCAAAACTAAAGAGCTGGGAGTATACCTCAGTGGAACAATGTTTACCTAGAATGTGCAAGGCCCTGGGTTCAATCCCCAATACTACCTAAATAAATATTTCTATTTTTTTATTTTGTTGCCTATGATGGAATAATCAACGAGATAACTGCTAAATCCAATG